ATTAAAATTATTTGAACAGAAAAGTGGCACTCTGATCAGGCTGCATTTTAAAGTCTACCAAATACCTTGAACCGGCTTGGTTGTTTACTCTAGATTTCACTGTCATTCCACCAGCTTCTTCCTTCACCAACATGTACTTCCCTGCCAGCCAGCCAGGCAGATGAGAGAGGGAGGCGCTGCCTCTGTTGTCAGAAGTTCTGGATTCTTTGATGTGAGAAGAGGCAGCACAGTCATTTGATCCAGCCTCTTTATATCTCACATGGTTAAACAACTAAGAAGTCAGATGAGAAGAAGGCGGCTGTGGAATGCAGTGCCCGGTGGTGCCTGCCTCATTATGCCATGCCTGCTTGTTCCTGCTGTTCATTTGTTTCTTTTGAAGACAGTGAATTTTCCCCTCTCTTCTCTGTTGTCTTCAATTTCAACTTAGCACTTTCTCGATCTCATGTCAGGTTTGTCCACCCTGCAGAGGAAGCTGAGCCAGACATGTGAGCACTCCCAGGGTCTGGGCTGCAGTGGCTGCCCCTAAGTAAATTTTGATGTTAGATGTTTCATTTTTCCTAATGTGCATATTTAAGGCTCTACATTTCTCTCTAAGCACCGCTTTCATTGAATTCCACAGTGTTGATGAGTTGTATTTTCATTTGGTTCAAAATGTTTAAAAGTTGCTCTCTTTTTTTTAAGATTTATTTATTTATGCATGTAAGAACTGGGATACAGGTCAGAGGTGTGGTGTGGTGAGAGGATTCCCCAGAGACAGAGTGGGGAGCAGAACAGGCAGGTGTACTGAGATACCCTGCTGAGGGGAGCAGCGGGCGAGACAGGAGAGGTCTGCTGAGCCATGTGGGTCAGCTCCGTGGCTGGGGATGGAACTCCTGTAGTAGCTGTGAACAGCTTCATAATGCTGCCATTTAACCCCTTGCACCAGCAGGGAGGCCCTTAAAAGTTCCTTTTGAAAATCATTCTATTTTGTTTCCTGCTTTTTTTGTGGTTTTAATGTGAGTGTTGCTTTATCTACTAATGTTACGAACTCAAGTTCAACACATTGTTTGATTATTACTTATCTGCAATCATTCCCTTAGCCCAACAGTTTTTGTCCCCCCACTTCCTTTGTGCTATTATTAGCAAATACCACACACACATTATACTTTCACATGTTATAACATCAACAATATCTACACACTATTCACAAATTACTCTGATAAATCCATTCGAAGAAGAAAAGAAAAAAATCGGCATTTCTGCTCTTCTTTATAATTACACAATTAGAGATCAGTTCCTTTGGGAAGCAACGAGAAGCCTGTTTCTCCCCCAGGAAAAACCTGAGCCACACTCTGGCGGCAGGTGGGCACAGCAGCCAGCCTCTCTTACTCAGTCTCCCCACTTGGACACGGAGCATCAGTGGAGGGGAAGGCAGCAGCCTGATATCCACGTGGCTCGCTCCTCGTGGGGTGAACCATCGCCTGGTGGGCCAAGGGAGGGGTGATCAGGGCCTCAACACTCTCAGCGCATTGTCTCTGTCCGTGAGTAGGGGCTGGGCTGGAGGAGGGAACCCCACTTCTTCCAGGATAGCTGGGCAGCATGAGAAAGGCTGGCTCTCGTTCCCCCCAGGAAGGAGACCCTCCTACTGAGAGCTAGAGAGGCCTGTGTTCTTGGGCTGGGGGAGAGGGATCTTGTGTTCTCAGACTTGGGGAGGAAGGGCCCTGTTTTCTTGCGGGGGCTGTGTTCTTGGTCTCGGTTGAGAGGGTTGAGGTTTTAGTCTTTTATTTTTGTCCTTCTCACTGTTATATACACAAAACCTTACGCAGAGCCCGGCACAGAATAGAAGCTGAAAAAATAGTTCTAGAATGAACAAGCAGCCGAAAACAACATGATTCTTTCTCGTCGTTCTCTTGTGAAACGTTCCTTCACGTAGGATGTGTGAAGGGTGAGAACCGGGGCATCCCTCAGAGGTTTAGTCACCAGCCTTCCTGGAGGAGCCAGCATAACTCTTGCAGAATTCCAGACCTCGCTGAAACAGCGGCAGGCACCCTCAGCCGCAGCCCCGGGCCTGCAAGGAGAGGTTGCAGTCAATCTCTTCTTTGTCTGCATCTGCCCATCTTCAAATTGCCATTTCTGACTATCGCCTCCCAACCTCCAGATCAGTCCTGAGGCAGAGGTGTATTTGTTTTCTGTGGCCGCTGTAACAAGTTACCACAAGCTTTAACGGCTTATTACGTGAGCTTATTCTCCACAGTTCCGTAGGTCAGAAGTCCCCAGATTCATGGGCTGAAGTCAAGGTGTTGGTGGGGGTGGGCCCCTCTGGAGTCTCTGGGAGATACTGTTCCTTGCCTCCTTCAGTTTCTAGAACTGCATTCCTGGTGACCCTTATCTGCTGGCCCCTCCTCCTCAAAACCATCGACTTAGTATTGTGCTGTGGTCCTATCAGTCTGTCAAACCCCCCTCACCCTCCCTCTCGTCACGCTTAGATTACCTTGAGGCCCACCGATATCACAGGAGCTTTGGCCCACCCCAAGATTCTGATGTAGCACATCTGTGAAGTCCTGTCCTCATACAGGGAACATTCACAAGCCGCAGGGACTGGCACTTGTAGGCCTTGGGGCCATTCATCAGGCAGCCACGGGGTTAGGATGCAAGATCTGGGTGGCTTCACTCACTGTGTGACAGGCAGCCCAGGGTCCCCCTCGGGCCATGTGGCACAGGGCTTATGGCTTGGGCCCACCCCTGCCCTTTCTCACCTTAGGCCCTTGAGGGACTTGCTTAAGCATTTGTGCATGACTTGGCATGGCGCAGGATGAGTACCTTAAAAACAAAGTAAACCTACCACTGGCCCACAAGCTCCACTGGATATAAGCTCAGCTTCTTAAGGAGACCCCCCCACACTTGACTCCAGGCACCTCAATTATTTTTCCAGGCAAACCTCCCACCCCACCCCTACTGCACCGTTCTGAGGCTTTGAAACCTCAGCTGACACAGAGCCGGAAAGAGGCGCCTTATGACATCCTGTCACCCTGGGGTCTGGGGCAGACGGAAGACAGGGAGGGGCTAGGAGAAGAGGCTAGAAGGTGCTCTGGCACAGGGCCAAGCCGAGGCCAGGGCAGGGCCCCTGTCTGGCCAAGTGAGGACTCCGGTCAGGTGGGGCTTTCCTCAGAACTTTAAAAATAAACCTTTTACTTTGAGATGACTGTATATATAGCGTATTATGTATTATGTATTATATATCTTCTAAACTTTTTATCTAGAAAATTTTCAAGCAAAGAAAAGCTTCAGAAAAGCTGTGGGAATGTAAACCCTTATACTCCTCACCTGCATTCACCAATTTCTATTTGGTTGAGTTCACGGCTTTTAATTTACTATCCATAACTACTTAGATATATATAGATCTGTGGCACGAGTTCAATCCCTGGCCAGGAGAATAAACCACATAGCTTAGCAGACCTCTCCTTTCTCTCCTGTTTCGCCCGCTGCTCCCCTCAGCAGTGTACTTTGTCGATCTGCCTGCTCTGTTCCCCATCTGTCTCGGTTGAATCCTGTCATCCAGCATACCTCTGGCCTGTACCCCAGCTCTTGTATGCATAAATAAATAAAAATAAAATTTAAAAACCCTCACTTATATAATATATGATGGTATATGTATAATAGTGAGCACATACATGAGCATATATATATGTATGCACGCATGAGTGTGTATGTGTATTTATCTATCCCACACACCCCTCCCCAGCTCTGTCGGCTGAGAGGCTTTAGAACCTGGGAGGCCTTCATGCAATAAACATGCTTGACACCAGTTCAACAGTGTTTCTAAATACCACCCAACTCATCCTTGGAGACATGGTTGATACCAGAACTGGGGCAGGGAAAGACCTAGATAGGACTGGAACCTACCATCAGTCAGAAAGTTAGAGGGTGCTCAGGATGGGGCCCTGTTTCAAAGACAGAGGCAGCCTGAAGGGAATCTTGCTACCACCGGGGTTTGCAAGTGGTGTCAGGGGCAATCTGAGCAGCAAAATCGTGAGAGTGATGGATTATAATATACAGTCTAAAATACAAAGCCATGATGGAATCAATAACAGTAGCAAAAATGAAGGAGGTAAAACTTTTTAACAGAAAACAGCAACAATCTGACTTTGAACTTCCAAACAACAGCATAGCTTCTTATTGCTTCCTCCTTCTAGATTTGGGTCTCCTTCCTTCCTGAAGAGAGTCCTGGTTTCAAACAACATTGATATATTTTATTTATTTATTTATGTTCCTCCCTACACTATTCACACAATTGTTATAGAATTGCCGCATCAACTCTACTGCCACAACAAACCTATTAATAACGAAAGGTCAGTATTTACTTGCATTTCTTTTAGATCAGTTTGCCCATGTTTCAAGCAGAAGAGGTACTTTCTGGGTTGGGTTTTGACAGATGAGTAGGAGTCTCCTGGGAGGAGATAGGAGAAGAGCAGGGAGAGGGATACACAGACCCAAAAGGCTGGAGAATGAAGAGGGTATCGGTATCTGGGGCTCCGGAATTCTTCAGAAAACAGAGGGTAAGTTTGGAAAGGTGTGTGCTGGTGGGTATGGTGGTGGCTCAGACCTTGATGCGGGGCAAGAAGCTTGGCATTGATAGAGCAGGCACTGGGGAGACACGGGAGGCATGGGCGCTTAGAGAATGTGGAGGGCAGATTGGCAAAGTGGTGACTGGCAAAGAGGCTGGGACCATGTAACATGCCCCGAGAGGGCGGGCTGGCTTGCTGTGCTTCTCCTCTGGAAAGCTCAGCTTTCTCATCTGTCACCTGGGCGCAAGGACGGGCACCTGCTCCCAGGGCTGCCCAGGGACTCCACAGGGTCTGAGTAAGTTGGGCCTCCCACATGCCCCCCTCTTCTGTGACATATCTCTGCTTCCTGTTTCTCCCCTGTCAGCTCTCAGGCTCAGCTTCAAAAGAACAAACAGACTCTCCAAACAAAGGAAGACAGTCTGACTGCAGAAGCAGGAAGCTGCCGCCCTGCTCGGACCCAGCTGTGGGGACTCGCGACATGGAGTCCGTGGCCCTCTACAGCTTCCAAGCCACCGAGAGTGATGAGCTGGCCTTCAACAAGGGGGACACACTCAAGGTAAGGTGACTGGAGCCTTGCTGGGTTGGCCCCACAAGGGGTGGGGATTGTTTAAGAGACAGCAGCTCAGGACAGCTCCCCAAACCGAGTCCAGATCTGGAGGACACGTCCAGCTTCTCCTGTTATCAGTTATGCAATTCTGGGAAAACTAACTCCTCCCTCTGAGACTCAGTTTTCCAGTCTAGGAAATGGGTAGAAAAACAATGATCCCTTCTGGGGCCATGAGTGTTCAGTAGCACTTCAACACAGTGCCTGGCAGGAGTTAGTTTAATGCCCCGTTTTGCAGGAAATAAGTTGAAAGTGCAGATGGCGAGAGAGAAGAGGAGAGAGAAAGAGAGTGGGAGGGGCAGGGGGGCGGGAGGAGAAAGGAAGAGGGAGAAAGTGTTATAGAAGAAATAAGATAACTTGTTGGGAGTAAAATAATTGGTATTTAAGCATCAAGAGCCAGCATGTGGAGAAAAGGGAACTGAAGTGACCCCATAGCTCATTTCTCCTTGTCTGCACCCCTTCTGATGGCCATCACTGTTTTTCAGGGTGGTCCTGGAAGATGGGTCTCTGGGTTCTCTCCTGGCAATGTCCTTCCCTACCAGTTTGCCTATGAAAGCAGAGTTCAGGGGCTAGATCCGGGTGGTCACGCCAAGACATAGCAAACAGCTTCCAGCTGTTTCCACACTGGAGCAGAAGGCGCGCGACCGCACAGCCTCCACTCGGCACTGAGGGTGCTGCTTTGGCCCCAAGATTCCAGAACAGTAAGGAAGGGCCTGCTCTTCCCTGATACCTTACTACCCAGGGCTGAGCTCAGCAAAGCTTGTCACTGCAGTATTTCAGCTGCCGAGGGGTGGGGGTGGTAACTAGTGTCCCCATTTCCCTTTTTTTAAAGATTTATTTATTTATGCATCCCAAAGCTGGGATACAGGCCAGAGGTGCGGGGGTGAGAGGGGTCACCAGAGACAGAGCGGGGAGCAGAACAGGTGGATTGACTGAAATACACTGCTGAGGGGAGCAGCGGGCGAGACAGGAGAGGTCTGCTGTGTCCCGTGGGTCAGCTCCTTGGCTGGGGACCGAAATTGTGCTGCAGAGGCTGCGGACAGCTTCGTGGTATACCACCAGGAAGACCCCACTAGTGTCCCCATTTCACAGGTGTGAGGTCAAACTTGGCCCCATGAGCTTTGGCTCCGGAAGACATGTTGTGTGCCCGTGAGACTGAACTGACTGGTGGGCTGACTGGAGAGGCTGGTGTTCCCCCAGAAGAACCACATCCTCTTGAGGAACTCCCCTCTCTATGCTGCGATGGCCACACCTGTGTCTACCTGACCCCATGGCAATGAGGCCCACTGCGAACAGGGGCAGGCTTAGCATGGGCGTGACGCCAGGGCCTGCAGCTCTTAGAGAGAACCCAGTCTAGGCACGGGTCTCACCGGCCAATCTTGGGCCTCAGAACTCAGATTTGGGCTTGGATGGGAGTGGAACTAGGAAGGTCGTAGGCAGCAACCTCCAGCTGGGGCTCGGAGGGATCATTCAGTGGTAGAATGGGGAGGGGGGATCCCCCAGGATAACTGTTGAAAACACAGTAACACCCCCACTTCCCTCTCTGGCTCCATGCCCACCACCCCCACCCCAAGATTAGTCAGATTTCCCAGCAACATTTGCTAAAGCATTAACTACCTCCTGGTATGTTTGCTTCTAATGAGCTGTGGCTGCTCAGGAAGGGAGCACAGTTGAGGGGTCCCTGCTGGGATCCAGAGCCCAGCACTTAGTGGACTTTCAGTGCGATATGGGGCTACGTGAAGGAGGAAGAAGTTAGCTGCTCCTGGGGTGCCCTCCCGGCGTGTGGGCCTGAGGTTATCCCTCATATCCACAGGGATGACGGGATCTTTCAGGCTTTGCCCTCATTCATTCAGCAAACATATTTTGGGTTATTTTCCCCATTTTATTGAGATATAACTAACATATAATAGTGTGTCTGTTTCAGGTATACAACATAATGACTTGGTAAATGTATGTATTGAAAGTGTCCCCCACAGTAGGTTTTAACATTCATCACCTCCCATAGTTGCAAATTTTTGTCTTGTGTGGAAACTTGTAAGACTTACTCTCTTAGCAACTTTCAAGTATGTAATAGCGTTATGCACAATGGTCACCAGGCTGGACATTATATTCTGGGGGGGGAGGGGACCCAGCGTCAGAAGTTGGTTGAGGGTCAGTGGACTCACCCTGAACAGGATCATATTAAGATGTTTAAGAGCTCAAAGAAAGGTCTGTGATGAAGAACAACCAGTGAGAAGGACGGGGTGAGACCGAGGTGGGGAGACAGCAGGAATTGGCGTGTGTGAAGGATTTGGTTCATTAAAATTTTTAAAGAATTTATTTATGCATGCAAGAACTGGGGTACAGGCCAAAGGTATGGGAGGTGAGAGGATTCAGAAGTGGGGCTCAGAATAAGTAGATCCATTGATGTACACTGCTGAGAGGAGCAGAGAGGGAGACAGGAGAGGTCTGCTGTGCCATGTGGGTCAGCTCTCTGGCCGGGGATTGAACTGATGCCACAGTGTCTGCAAATTGCTTCATAGTGCTGAGACTTAACCCCTTGGGCCCTCAGAGGGCCCTGGATTTCATTTTAAATGAAACTAGGGCTTAGGGGTACACATTGTATCCTGGGTTCTGGCTTAAGCACTGTGGCCAGCAGAGAAGAAAACATTCACTGCTCACACAGCTGACATTCTGGTGGCAGACAGGGGCCATAAACCAGATAAATAAGCAAAACACAGAACTTGTTGCATGGAGACAGTGCATGAGAGAACGGAGCTCCCAGATGGACATGTTGGTGGGTGCTATAGAAGCCACCTACACTCCTGCTCAGCAGCAGCACAAAATATTGTACAGTCCCCGAAGCTACTATTTTAGGAGGATGTTTAATGACATTCAGTGCTCATGGTGCGATGTGAAGTGGCAAAAAGCAGAACGCAGATGTGTGCACACAGTCAAACTTCACAGTGATCCACAGTCAGTAATTTTGTGGAGGAAGAACTGACATTCACGTCCCATTTTCTAGTCTTGGAAAAAAGACTAGAAAGAAATGTCCTGATATGCTGACAGTTGCCAGTTCTGGGAGGTGGCCCGTGAGCAATTGACATTTTCTTCTTTATTCTTTCTCCTCTTCCCAGATACCTACTGCAGCCAGCATCCTTCAAAGCTAGGGCCAGATGCTGTGGTGAGGCCTCTACTCTTTGACCTTATGGGTGCAGGGTCAAATCCTGCCTTTGTTTAAGATGTTGATGGACTTTTTTGCATTAATTTGTAAACAGTCCTTATTTTAGAGAAAGTTTGAGACTTACAAAAAACCATGAGAATGGTTCAGAAGACTTCCCAGCCCCCACCCCAGCCCACTTGCTGCCTTTTCAAAGAGGCCTTTCTTGACTACCCCATCTGCTCCTCGCTGAAGGTCTCCCCACCCTTCTTAGATGACATCCTTCATCGATGTCACCCTGACAAAAAGTTTTCAGGTTACTTATCATTATACTGCTTACTTGCTTCTTTCCTAGCTTGCTGTCTCCCTCTGCCCACCAGAACGTAAGCCCCTGGCTCCCTGCTGCGTCGGCACTGAGCTCCAGCAGGTACCCAGCACACAGCTGCTCAGGGAAGGCACTGGTCAGGGCACACCACCCTGGGTGGAAGGTGTGGTGGGGCAAGTCTCAGAGACAGGGGAGTGCGGTTTAGCCGGGGAGGAGCCGGTCTCTGTTCTGTGGGAATTCCCACAAAGCGTCCCTCTATGGGGGGTCTGGGCTTTGAACAAGTGTCAATACTGAGCGATGTTAACAGTAAGAATTTAACTAAAGTGGGCCCTCCCTGGTGGCGCAGCCAGCGGGTTAAAGCACAGCACTGAGAAGCTAAAGCCACTTCAGCATGAGTTCAAACCCCACCCACCCCGGAGGCGACCACATGGCAGACCACTTTGTCAGTTGGCCTGTTCTGCTCCCCACTCTGTACCTCTGGCCTATACCTCAGTTCTGTATGCACACACACACACACACACAAAAAAAAAGAATTTAGCTAATGCAACCAAATGAGTTTCTGGGTTTTTTGGAGTAGAGATGAAAAAACAACACAGCAAAATAAAACCAAATAGGGATATATTAGCTGTATTACCCTCACATGTCCACTCTGCTGCCTGTGAGACACATTCAGTGCAGGCCATAAATGCACCCATTTCACATCGAAGGAACCGAGGCCATAGCCATGTGGAGAATGTCAGAGAGAGACAAGGGCACTCTAGTCCCAGCACCAGGGCATCTTCATTAAACCTGTGGCGAAGGGAGGTGACTCACAAGTTCTAATTTTTCAGCATGATGGGGAGTTTTGAATTTTTGTTTGGTTTAGTTCGCAGCAAAGTTTTTCCTGACTCAGCCACCAGCTTCCGTCTTCCCTGGGACTGCTGACCTTGCCTGGGCTGCAAGGGCAGGAAGGAAGGGGCTCAGTGAGGACTGGTGGGCCGAGAGCCCGTTTCTGCCCACGAGGGCGGGGCTTCGGGCCTGGGCCCGCAGCAACAAAATCTCAGCTTCTCTTGGTAAAATCTAAGCTGATGCTCTCGACAGACTGCCCCCAAGCCCTGGCTTCTACTTGGGGTGCTATTCTAGATCCAATTTTTTCTCCTGCTAAGTATCCCCACTAAGATTGAATGGGCGGTAAGAACTGGTGCAGGACCAATAGGAAAGAGGAGCCCTGGACAAGGTCCAGAGACAGTAGGATGCGGGCGAAAACTGGTGCCTCCCCATCCAACCGCCACCCCAGACAACCTGAGCCCGAGGCCCAAAGCCTGTCTTCCTCTGTGAGCACTACCCCTCCCCTGCTGCGTGGCCTGCTGGGCCTCCCCATCTGTGAGGTGGACTTTAGTGAGGACAAACTTGGGGGCCTGTATGAGAGTCAGACACATGGAACACTTGCCCAGAGGAAGAAGGAGGGAACCCCAAGCTTGACGCTGTACCCACTCCCAGACTGGCCCCCTCCTCCCTGTGGCTTCTCAGTTGCTCACCACAGTGCCGCCCACCCCCACCCCCGTGTTTCAGTTCCTCTCCGCACACCTGTGGGGGGACAAGGGCAGCACACCATGGGACAGGAGCACCAGCAAACTGGGTTCCCGCCCAAAGTCCTCCTTTGCTTGATGCCTGGACACCCCCTCACTGAATCATCACCCCTGAGCTCAGACAGCGAGGACTGTTGAAATGCAGCGACCCAGACTAACACTAAGTACTGAACTCAGCTGGCTCCCCAACGTACCTGGGGACGTCGGCCTTTACTACACGGCTCAGAGTGAGGGCGGGTCCTCGGCAGGCGACAGCGATTTCTCCTGGTAACTGAGTGACTGTGTCTCTCCTGTCCACAGATCCTGAACATGGAAGATGACCAGAACTGGTACAAGGCAGAGCTCCGGGGTGCCGAGGGGTTTATTCCCAAGAACTACATCCACATCAAGCCCCACCCGTGAGTGGCTGTCCATGATTGTCCTCAAGATTCAACCCCTGAGCTGAGTCTCTACTGGTCCAGGCTGAACTGAGCTTTCTGTGAGGGCTGGGGCCTGTTGCATCCCTTGGGCACGGGAACACCTCACTTCAGTTTCTGTCGGCCTGGGGCCCCCAGCATCCACCATCAGCAAGTACAGAAGGAGATGTGAGGATTGTCCAAAGTGAGGTCTGGGTCAGGTGGAGCCCAGGCATTGACTCTGAAGACCTAGGACAGAGAACACCCAGGAGAGCTCTGGAGAGGACAGGGCCTGGGCCCTCAACTGGCTGCTGTGTGACCTTGGACAGGGCCCTACCCTCTCTGTTCCTCCGCTTCCCTATCTGGAATGCAAGGAGGGCTAAGACTCCAATCTGCAGAGATTGTAGATTTCTCTCTAAGAGGCTGACTCAGCCCTGTGTTGGGATGGGAGATGGGGAGGGAGGGAGTCAAAGGAGGGGTGAGGAGGTACGCCCCCTGGCTCTGCCTTTGGGGTATGGACATGAACTGGACATTGGCTGAGCGGAGTCTAGGACAAGGCAGAGTGGGAATAGTATGTGGGGCTGGGGAATAGTGTGTGAGCCCCGCCGGGCCCTCAGCAGGTGGCAGCAATGCCGTGGTGCTGAGAATGGCTGGGCAGAGCCCACCCCCACTCTCGGAGGCCAAGGAAGCTACAAAAAAACAACTTGACGTGTTTGAATGATGGCTGAGGCAGGCGGAAATGCAGGAGCTCACTCAGCCTTTCACTAAGCTGGCCGTGGCCCTAGGGGGACCAGCCTGGTGATGTTAAATACGCGATGAGATTCGAGGACAGAGCAGCTCCATCCTGTGGGAAGACGGGGTATAAAGAAATTACGACATAGGAAGACAGTCAGACTGAGGTAACTAGCCAGAGAGGGCTTCTCAGAAGTGGCAATGAGTAAGGTTTGGAAGGATATGCCGGGGTTAGCTGAGTAGAAAAAGAGGAATTCCCAGGAGAGGGACAGGATGAGCCAAGCGGGACCAGTAGTGGGACTGGCAGGAAAGACCTGCGGGCCCTGCCCGGACTAGGAAGCTGAGGGGCGGGGGGCCCCTGTCGATGTGGAGGCGGGTGACAGGGCCATGAGGCTAGAGGGGCAGGCTGGGAGCGTGATGCCTGGGATTAGGGGTGGGAGAGGCGGGAGGGCCAGGCCCAGGGTGGAGTCTGGAGGGTATTTCCTCTTTATCTGCCGTCCAGTTGTTTCCAAGGAAGCCACCTCTGGCTTCCCTTGCTGGGCAAGGCCCCTTCCCATTCAGGTCTGCAGGCACCCCAGGCTCCCCCAACCTCTCTCAGGAGGCCACATCCTTGGGTTCCGGCCCCTGCAGTGTCCCTCTGGGCCGTGTGATACGGAACTGACACAAGGCCACGTCTGGGTGTCAGGGGTTTATTCCTCTCAGGGGGTATCTGCCTTTCAGTCTTTCCATCGGCCCAGCCGTGACCACAGCCAGCCCCAGACACCCCAGGTATATACTAAAGCCAGCAGCCAGAACAGGGTGGGACAGACCAGCATGAGCTGGCGGGTCTGAGCAGGCCTCCAAGATGATGGACTAGAAAAAGGCAGAAAGCTGGGTGGCCTACAGCCACAGAGGAGCCCAGAGTGGCTTCCTTTTGCTTGGGGGAGCAGGACAAAAGATGGAGGTACTAGGCCAGGCAATGATACCAGTTGAGGCAAGACTACACCAGGGAGCCATGGAGGGTTCCTGCCTGCGATGTCCATGGGGTCCCTAGGATCAGCTCTGGCCACTCATACCTGGGAGAACACAAGGTCGGGGGTGTGGGGGAAGTCAGGCCCTGAACTAACTTGCCTGACATCATGCCCAGGTGTGTTCTTGGCCAACCTCAGACCCACTCTAGCCCCAAAATAGCAGTGGGGAAACTCCAACTCAGCCTGTAACTCAGCCTAGCTGGTCCCCAGGGGGGTGGTCAGGGGCAGGCAGGGTCCCAGAAAGACTTGTGCCTACACCAGGCCCACTCACTCCTTCCCAAACACCCACTGTCACCCTGCTGGCCTCGGGGGCCACTGGGGAGGCAGGAGGCAGGAGCCAAGTGCCACCAGGCTGGGATTCATGGCCCAGCCACGTGGCCAGGGGCCAGCCAGAGAAAGGCATGGGCCGCTGCGTCTGGCAGTTAGAATGCAAGTTTGCTGGGGAGGGCAGAGGCAGGCCCAGCCAGGCGCTGTGTGGGAAGGGGGTTGTGAGCCCCTCAGACACAAGCAGCAGCAAACACCTGCTGGCAGCAACAGCCTGGCCTTTCTCCCTAGGGCCCCGGTTACCACTGTTATCACTCGTGGGCAGGAAATGGGCATACGGAGCTCGAGTGGCCTGTCCAGGTCCACACAGCTGGCAAGAGGCGGAGTGAGTGTCGAGTGGGGATGCTGTGGGCTCCAGGCTGTGCTCATCAGGAGATTGGGGGGGACCCCCATAAGAACAGTTATGAGGCCAAGGAGACTCCAAAGCCAGGGATTTAGCATGCAACCTCCGGGGATCCCTGCCCCACTCTGGGCACATCAGCAAAATGGACCACAAGAAGTCACGAAGAGTGACACTGGTGTGGCAGAGAGATGGTTCTGGGGGCATCAGGAAATGATAGCTTCTCCTGCAACCCACCCTTCAAGCCACCCAAACTCAGCCCCACCTTCCCCTGGTGGGGGCAGGGCTGGCCTCCTCGAAGGGCGCGGTTGTGACATCCTTTGAGGGTGACAGCCACCCACACACTGACGCCTTCTGTAGGGTTTTGTGGGTTCTTTGGAGACACCAGGCCTTCGGGCAACGCCCACTTGGGGCCCCACTGGGCCCCTGCTCCTCACCTGTGTCCTGCTGGGGACTTTTGGTTGGTGGCTCTCTTTCCAGCCCTTAGCCACCATGTCCCCTTTCAGCCTCTGGATTCGAGGCATTCAGTTAGGACCCCAAACTCTGTGGATGCCAGTGAGCTCTCCAGGCGGTTGCCTTGATTCCCTACACTCAGTATGCTATCACCGCACCTCCTCCTCTCCTAAAGAAGTCACTGTGCGGGGCCAAGACCACTCTCTACTCTGAGGGTAGCAACAGATTCTCCCTTCTGGGGATGTGAGGCTCCTAGAAGTTGGGGCTATGCTGTGAGGACAAGGCTTTATTTAGGGCCATGGACAGGGAAGGAGCCAGTGGGGGCATGCTATTGACAGTGGGCTGGAGTTCTACTGTCAGGAGAAAAGGGGGAGTCAGAACAGACACCCCAGAGTGGTCCCATGGAGGGGGGCAGGGAGCTGGTGTTTATCCACCTGCTCTCCTCAGTCGTCACTTGAGGCTGTTCCAGGGGCTCAGCCCACCCTACCCAGGTCACTGTCTGTAGGCAGGAAAGTCCTGGGGCAGGAGATCAGGGGTTTCACTGGGTAAGATCCCCCAGTGCAGTGGAAGTGGGGATCAGGGCAGGACACCCCAACATCTGCTGCTGTACCTTATGCCCTCTGCTTTCAGCTTTGAGGACACATCAACATCCTGAGATGACAGGAGAAGTCCCAACGCACATCCGCCCCCTCCTCACTTCCCCGGGGCCAAGTTCAGTCTCAGGAAGCCCTTGCTGAAGGAGGGAAGGGAGCTATTGCAAGCACTGCACTCTGGTCCCACCCTCAGTTGGTGGGACTCCGGGCCTCAGTTTCCCCATCTGAATAGTAAAGGAGCCAAAACTAGGCTAATGCACTGGGGCCAAGAAGCCAGTCAGAGACATAGCCCAAAGAGGTCAAGAGCTACCTGGGGTCAACCAGCAAGTTGGGCAGGGCCCAAAGAGAAGCTTCACTGCCCCTTCTGCCTCCAGGTTCTGGATACAAGACTCTAAGACAGGGCAACTTTTGTCACCCAGTTCTGTTTGATCGGCAGATAAAGGGACTTGTGCCCACGAGGAAAAAAAAATTCTACTGGCCTCAGTCTGTGCATCTGTAAAATGGGCACATGGAGTGACCCTTCCTCACCAGATCTTAGCTGCTACTGCTTTTGTCATCTGTTTTTGTATTTTTTGACTTTTGTATTTTTTGATCTACCATCTGAAATGGAATCACTCATCTGAAATAGGCTGCTTTGAGGTTCATGGGGGCTTGCTTTTTCTGTTTTCATAAGGGGATGGGTTTGCTTCCTGCAGTCAGAAAGAATTGGGCTCAGGGGCCAAAGTGCTGGGATTGGGCCCTAGGCCCCGCCTGCCATAGTTTGTGAAGTAAGTCACCTCTCTGCACCTCCGCTCCCCATCTGTACGAGGGTGCCATCATATCTGGCATCTCCAGACCACTTTGGGGAACAGCGGTGCTGAATGCCAGGCCCAAGGTGGGGTGGCCCTGCCTTCACGGTGCCTTCACCGTCTCCCCAACCCTGCAGGTGGTACTCCGGCAGGATTTCCAGGCAGCTGGCTGAAGAGATCCTGAAGAAGCGGAACCACCTGGGCGCCTTCCTGATCCGGGAGAGCGAGAGCTCCCCTGGGGAGTTCTCAGTCTCTGTGAAGTGAGTCCTGACCCATGAAGAGTAGAGCCGAGCCTTGGCGGGAGGTGGGGCGGGGAGGTGGAGCGAATGGCAGCCTGTAGGTGCAGCAGGCTGAGTAAACACCTGAAGGCCTGTGGCCCTCTGGGCCCGGGAGACACACAGGCCAGGCGAGCCCAGACCAGGGTGTGAGGGGTCTCTGGAAAGCAGTCTGACTACAAGGCCTTGAAGGCCAGTTGAGGGGTATTATGGAACTAGCAGTGAGGACTGTCAGCGATTTGTCATCAAGGGAGGAAGAAGGATGTTAGCAGGTGACGTGGACTGGACTGGGGGTGGGAGAGCACAGGGCACCCAGCGTTGGTTTCCAGGATGTGCTGTGGAATGTGTTTAGGGTCCCATCCTGTGGGGATAGTCACTGCACTGCTTGGATTCTGGCTCTGGTTCTGCCCCTTCCCACCTGTAAGGCCCTGGGCGAGTCCCTTCACTCTGTGCTTGTTCCTCGCACCCAAAATGCTTCACTGCAAGGAATGAATGAGTCGCTGTATCTAAGAGCCATCAGAATACGCCTGGCACGGAAGCAGGTGGCCCCCATGGGTCTGACTTTGTGAACAGGGCAGCACCTCCGGGCAGCACAGAACCCAGTCTCAAAGGCCACAGCTGAGGCAACTGATTCTTCAGTCAGGCTGGAAAGCAAGGGCGGGAATAGGGGTGGGAAATGAAGGTGTCCAGCCCCTGACTGGTCTCCGCCCTTCCGATTCCCAGCGCCCAGAACAGAAAGCCCCAGACGTGAAACTCATGGGCTATTGACTGAGCTGTGTGCCAGGATATTCTAGAGGCTGGGAAATGTTGTGAAAAACAGAAAGTTGCCTTGTGGGTGTATGTATGCTTTGGTGGGGGAGCTAGTGAACAAGGAAACAGTAGGAGCCAAGGTCGTCAGGGAAGGCGTCTTGGAGGAAGCCTCTGAGCAAAGATCTGACCCAGCGATGGAGGCCGCCTGGGGGCCTGGGCCTGAGGGCCCGAGAGGGAACCTCTGGGTGGAGAGGGCTGTGTCATGCTTGAGGGCCATGGAAGCCCGTGGGGGCGGCAGGGGTGTGTGTCTGGAACACAGCAGCCGGTGCAAGGCACAGACTAGACAGACAGACCCTGACAAGGCGGGATTTCTCTCAGAGCAACAGGGAGGCCGGAGGGCCTTGAGCCGGGTGAGAGGCGACCAGGCATTTTTTTAGCCGACACCCCTGGCAGCTGTGAGGAGGGCAAGGGTTGAGGGGTAAGTCTGGCAGCAGGAATGCCTGTAAGGAGCCAGGCTGCAGGTGACCTGGGGTTTTGGTGGGGGCTGAGGGGCAGGGTGGCTGGGTCCTTGGGTGGCGTGGGTCTGTGGACTGTGAAGTGGGGGCTGTTTGCCAACTCTCAGGGCTGCTGCGGTCACAGAGCCTGCACAGAGGAGGAGCTGCTGCCTGCTTTTACTGACACTAAGGGCTGGTGCTGGGCGGCAGAGTTGCCCGCTGGAAGGAAGGGGTGGCAGTGGACCTGGGGCAGGGTGTATGCTGTGTGGCTCTGCCAGAGTGCCCATCTTCCTAGTGCCGTGCTGTATGATTTTCCTGCTGATGAAGCAACTTGGGGCCTTTCTGGTGATTAACAATGGTGGGAGGAGACTGGGCGCTGGGCTCAGGGGAATGCCACAGACGCAGAGAAAGAACCAGACGGTCTAGGGACAGCTTATGGTATCCTCGTGCAGCCCACAGGAGGTGCCACGCTGGAGGCCTCCACTTGGCAGAAGTGTCTTCAGTGGGCGCCTTCCTGGCTGAGTCCGGCTCAGGGGGACCTGTGCGGGGCTATTTCAGTAAGGAGCTCATCGAGGCGTGCAATGGCCCATCCGCTGCGCCCTGCGAGGGGGTGACCTCCGTTGTGGGCCTAGAGGCGCCTGTGTGGGCTGACCAGCGAGAAGAGGAGGGCTCTGGGGGAGGAGTGGAAGGATCCAGCACCCTGCGTGGTGGCGGTCACACGCGGCCTCACCTGACCCCCCAGGGGATGTAACCAGCCGTCGACTTTCAGTTCCCTTTCCCTTGAGAACAGATTGGTGATCTCAGGGATGGGAATCCACTTGTCTTCTCTGAGTCTCTACTTCCTCATCTTAAAAATGGGAGAATGACTGTCAATGTGGGGGGCGGGCGGGGGTGGAGCTTCGCAGGTGCAGGTCCTGTGGGCTCTGGCTCCCCTTCATGGGATGGTCTTGGGCATCTGAAGCCCCCCGTGCTGGCACACCCTAACACACCTCCATAGTCCAGTCCCCACTTCCCAGCCTGCCTCCTTACAAAAGCAGGATGTGGCAGTTTTCCAAGTGTTGGCTGTCCAGGGCCTGCTTATCCCCTGGGAATGGCGCTCACCAGGCCGACTTATCTGCGTTCAGTGACTGCGAACTAGCCCAAAGCCCACGGTCACCCAGAGAATCACGGAACTGGGCAAGTCACGGAGTCCGTTCTGGACCCTGGACTGTGGGGGAGCTTGGCCTTGCCAGACCCGCCGCTGAGCTGAAGCTGCTCGAACCCACGACGGGCCTTGCTGCACTGCCCTCTGCTGGTGCCTCTCTGTAAGTGCAGCCCCGCCGGCACAGCCAGGGTCAACCCGAACTAGTCATCCTCAGGGCGTCTGACTTGCACAGGGTAGGGCAGGAAGAGGAGTCCAGCCCGAGGAGGGCGGTGGGGAAGTAAACAGGGCCCGGCCCAAGGAGCCATGATGAGTGAAGAAAATTCGCAACAGCGAAGGTCCCACATGGTGAAGGTAGAGACATCTGAGCTGAAATGGGAGAGGCGCGGTGCAGAAGGAGGGGTGAGGGTGGCAGGCTCAGGGGACAGCACCGCAGAGCCGGAGTGGGGCCGTGAGAGTGGGTTGCGACAGCAACAGTTGTCTGGACAGGTGGGCAGGTGGGCAGGCCTGGCCAGCACGTCCCGAAAAGAGGGGTCAGTGCCTGTGTCAACTCGGAAAGGGGTCTGCCAAGTCATCTTGGCCGAAGACCCTGAGCACCTCTCCTAGGCGTCGGCCAAGTCCGGAGGACGCAACCGCAGGGCCTCCAGGGCCCTGTCTGCGGTTCACGCACAGCACCACCAGGTGGCGGCACCGACCCGCACGTTCACCGGAGCTGGGCCAGGGCTCCCGGGTCCTGCTGGGCTCTCCCCAGCCCATTATCTTTAGGTGGGGGTCCTTTAGTGGCCTCTGGAGGCAGGCGTCAGAGTGGGGGAACTGAAACTCGTGGAGCGCACGGGGCTGGGAGTGTGGCTTTGGAGCAGAAGGCTCAGCTCTGGTGACTACTGTATAACTTCTGTGTCACTGTAGTGCTGGGCAAGTTACCCTCTGAGCCTGTCCCATCTAAAATGAGTATCTATGGGAAGTGCTTAGCACATAGTAGGAGTCCAATAAATGCCACTGAAGAGTCATTATGTTAATTCCCAAAGGGCTACACAGTGCTCTGAGGGAAGGGACCCCACTCTTGGCCCTGTGAATCCAGGGCATACAGGAGAGGGCAGAACAGGGGCAGCAGGGAAGCCGGCTCTGGACCTGGCGGGTAGCCTCTCCAGCCCAGTAATTTCCCTCGGCATCTGTGCCATGCCACGGTAACTCCAGGAGTTGTAAAGTCCAGTGACCGAGGGCCAACCATCTTGACGGCTGCACAGATTCACATGTGGGAGCATTTCCGCCCTCGCTAGCTTGGTTCTTGAGGACTCTGACCCCACTACGCGTGGCATCTCCTACACGCTCATGCCAAGCCCCATAAAGCTGTCAGAGGTGGGGTTTATGGGCCTTGAAGAGCACTAGTGGCCACGGCTGGCTGCCCTTTATGAGTTTACAAAGGGCTGTCCCCCTGTCCCTCCAGGAGCACGTCTGAGCTGGCGGCCAATGGCCGGGAGCCAGGACGAGGCTGCGATGCCGGGGCCGGGAAACACTCGGATCCGGGCCGCCGTGGGTGTCGTCAATGACGGCTGGTTCCCAGGTCGGGTGTTTGCTTCCATTCAGGCCGGAAGTGCCTGGAGGCAATGTACACTGTTTGCTCTGCCGCTTCAGGCACTGAAAACCTACTGTGTGCAGGGCCCTGTCCCAGGTGCTTGGGGTTCAGTCACAAGCAACATAGGACAAAGCTCCCTGTCCTTTAGATGCCAGCCTTGCACTGAGGAGGCAAATGTAGCAGGGAAGTGGAAACTCCAGTTTGGTTGAGAGAGACCCAATGCATGCAAAGACAGAGAGCGAGTGAACCCTGGAAGTCCAGTTTGCATGTCAGGAAGGCAAAATTCAGGAGGTGCAATAACTGTCCAAGGGCTCACTGCAAGCAACAGAGCTGGTGCCCCGACAGACCTGGGCTACCCTTCCACCTGCCCTCCCTGTACCCCAGGCCCTCAGCAGTCTGTCCCCACAAGCCCACAGTCAGGCTGAGTCCTGCCTGCTCCCACGCAACAATTCCACTCCCTGCCCTCCTTTTCACAGACCAGGCAAGGGCCAGGCCTAGTGGAGAGCAGCCCAGCAGTTAGCACCCAGACTCCTGCCAAGGGGTCCCCTAGGCCCTGGCAGGGGCAGTCCCAGTTTCGCCAGCCTTGTTTACCCTCCCTGGGCTGCCACTGTCACCTTTGCTGCTGCTGCCGCTGGGCCAGAAAAACCTGCTGCACAGGACTGTCGGTTGCTCACAGATCCTTGGGCTTTTCTGACAGCCCAGAGCTGGCTCAGCCCCTGGCCCCCCATAGCTGCTCAGAGAAAAGCCTAAGCACAGTCACTCCCACAGGGTGGGGGGAGATACAGGCACCCACACACCATGGAGACAGACCCTGAAGCGTGTGGACCAGGACGTAGACAGGCACGTACAAGGCCCATGTCTGCACGCAGAGACAGGCACACAGAGACGTACAGGCACACACAGACACATGCAGGACACACATGCACATACACACGTGTGCCTGTGCACACGCGGACACAGGCACACACGGGCATACAGTGTATGCCCCCAGCATGGCCCACTGCCGTCGACCAGCTCCAGAGGCCCCCTTTTCTGGCAATATGCAGTCTCAGACCCCTCCTAGGCACCTTCCCCTCCAGCCCAGAGGGCTCACTTAGCAGGCTAGCTGCTCACAAGCCTTCTTTCCAAGTGTGGGGGTTATCCAGACCCACACCCGGTTTCCCATGCATGCCCTTCAGTTCTCCTGACCTGGGAGTTGTGGGGGGGTGGGGTTCCAGATTTGACAGTCCCCAGAGGGCAACCCATGATCTGAGAGGTTGTCAAATGCCATGGCTAGCAACACCCGATCAGTTGGCCAGGAGAGAGGTTGACTGGCCAGGAGCTGAGCCCATAGGGTCTTCAGATGGAGAAGGCCCTGCCTGGCCTCAGACAGGTGTGGTCCCTTCGAGATCAGGCCAGCAGGTGGCTCAGCAGGAAGAGCCACACCCAGGTCACACGCAGCAGCATGGGCAGTTGGCAGCCTGTGGCCTGGGCAGGGTCCTCCTCGCTGGGCCCTGCTGGCCACACTAAAACAGGAAGTTTGGATCAGGAGGGCGAAGGGACAGCTAGATGCTCAGCTAAATGCTGAGCGTGTCCTGTGTGCCACACACAGGCTGGAACACACCAGCTTCCCAGACCTGAGACTCCTCAGGTTGGAAGGTCCTGGAATCCCTGGGCCCCTGAGTCCTTTCCCACATCTCCCCCTGTGTGACAAGGGGATGCTTTTTTTTCTGGATGAAAGTGACTGTAGATGATCTTCAAACACCAGAACATTCAAAGTTGTGGTCCTTCGGGGCTGAGGTCTTTCTCAAGACTACGGCATCCTCCCTGCTCCTGTCCTCTGGACAGGGGCCTCCTAGGCTTCTTCTCAGGCTGACACCTAGTCTGCCCCAGGTGACCCAGACATGGAGCACTTGGGGCCCCCTGTTTCCAGGTCTCTGGCCTCCCCAGCCATCGGTCACCTCCCTCTGCGGCTCATAGGACTTGTCCCCAGGCGAAGGTCCAGGGGCTGCAGGGTCGCGGCCACTGGCTCAGACCATCGAGCTGAGCGCATGGGCTCAGAGGCTGCGGCCGGGCAGGCTGGACGGGAGGCCCCAGCCTGCCTGCCCGCCCCTCTCCAGCCAACACACAGACACACATGTCCCACAGCCGGCAGCACGAGCGGCTTAGTCACCTGGGAACAATGCTTGCTGACATCACACGAGCGGCTTTGTGCTGGGTTCAGCGAGCATTGCTCCATCTGGTCACAGAGCCTCGGGCATCTTGGGGCCTCAGTTCTGGTGGAGCGAACTGGCTCCCTTTTGAGTTAAGTGCCCTGAGAGCTGGCCAGGACACCTGGAGGACTAGACGCCCAGCTCAGAGCTGCCAAGGAGAGGGTTTCCAGAACACAGCAGCGGATGAGTGTGCCTCTCGGGCCCTGGTGCGCTACTCCGAGCCCCGCTTCCCGCACCCAGAGACCCTCAGGGCCCGCTCCTGCCTCCCCGCCTTCTCAGTGGCACAGGCCATTATGAGCTGCAGGTTATGAGAAGGCTGTGCAGGGGCCCAAGGAGACCCCTGACTGTAACGGAGTGGGGGGCCGTTTTACCGACTAAGTAGTATATGCAAGGAGCTCAAGCCGTGTTTGAAAGTGAAGACAGGGGTTCTGAGTGATTTGGGGCGGGTGGGGGAGTCCCACTTTGCCCCCACGTGGGGGCACACGCACTCACTCAGACCAGAGGATGGTTACCCTGAACAAACATTTACTGTACATCTTTCTTCTTGAACCTTTCATGAAGCAGTACACCAGCCCCAGGGCTGACAGGTGGAGGAAGTGGGCTGTAGGCAGGGACGGGCGGACAGGGACGGGGCGGACAGCCACAGACCCGAGCAGCTGGGGGTGGCAGACACCGGTCCTCAGGAGAGCCTGGGCTGCAGGCGCCAGGCAAACCCTGGCTTATAGGAACATTGTGTCCAAAGTTGATGAACTTGATTTAAATTTGGAACCCAGGTGGTGCTTTTTTTTTTCACTTTTTTAAATATCAGGTCTCTGGACCAGTGTTTGGTTCTCATTTAACCCCAAACAATAAAAGAACACAGCCCATGGCTCAGGAAGCCCAGGGGACATTCCTTCCCATTGGCCCCCAAAGTGCCCTCACGCACACACACACACACACACACACACACACACACACACACGCCTGCCAGGCCCACCGGCCCCAACTCCCAGGGCTCAGCTCTACCAGCCGCCCGGACAGATCATTCCACCACAAGCTGGTTCTTCAGCTGGTTTCTTCCTGGTCAGGACCTGCACTGTCCTGTATTCTCCCCGCGGCTGCCAGCCTGGCTAGGTGAGCCCAGGCCTCGCTCCCCCAACTCCTAGCGAGGCCAGCTGGGGTGTGTGCCAGGTGGCTGACCACAAGCAAGGGACAGGAGGCTGCAGACCGGCCAGGCAGAGGACAGGAGAGAGGAGAGGAAGCTTCTCCCAGGGACACAGCACAGGTAACGACGTGTCAGAGTGGGACCTGGCTTAGGACGGCAGATCTGGGACACCATCCATTCACGGCTGGAATAATTATTGTTGTTATTGTTTAAAATGAGTAACCAATTGGGGAGCATGTTCCAGTGGATTGGACATGCGTGAGCTCAGATAGGCCCCAGCCCTTTCTTGCTGTCACTTGGGTCTCGGTTTCCCCACAGTACAAAGGGCTGACTTGCAACTCTCACGTCAGGAGACAGGCCCAGCCACCCCTGCAGCAGGGAGGAGAACCCTGCTGCCTATTGTCCCGACCCAGGCAGCACCACCTGCACGGCCTGTCCTAGGGTGGGACACGCCACCGGTGGGAAAGCCCCAGGCAGAGGCCTCGGCCCAGGACCAGCCAGAAGAGGCTCTGCCCCGCTGGCCAGTTTGGGAGAGGCAGGCTAACTCCCCAGCTGGGCTAGAGGTTCTGGGGGGAATTTGGCGATGGTGCATCAGATGTGGAGGCTGAGAGGTGACAAAGAGCTCAGATTGCATCGGAAATTAGAGAAAAAAGACAAGTTGGACCTCTAATAAAGAGTCAGATGTTGAATCTGAAGTGATAGGATTTTGTTTCGAGGACAGTGGGAGCCATAGAAGGCTCTTGAGGGGAAGGGGAAGAAGACACCAGGCCTCCAACAAGCCCGAGTTCCTCTCACACTGCCAGGTTTTGGGTTGTGTCAGGATGATGTCAGGACTCACTCCCCAAGGGACTGTGAAGGCTCGGAGCGGGGTGGGGAGGAGGAGAATGTCAAGGTCGCGAGAGGGACGTCACAGCGTGTGAGAGACCCTGTCTGGTCACCAGTGTCTCGGAGAAACCATGTAAATGCTGTCAACAAACCATAATCAGCATGCTGCGAGCACTTACCCAGAAGGGAGTTGTCATCTTCATGAGGAAACGTGTTGTCCGGAGAGGTAGATGGCCTGCCTCAGGTCACACAGCAGGAAAGTGGCCTGGGCAGGACCGGTACGCGTAAGCCCAACGCCACTGCCAGGGGAGGAACACTGGGTCCTACCTGGAGCTGGGCAGTGAGGCCCGGAGCTCCCTGGCAAACCTGCACCCTCCTTACTCCAGGAGAGAGAGGACGGCCTGGCTGCAGCTGGGGGTGAGAGCAGCAGGCCCGGGCTGTTCCCGGCTGGGACGGGCCAGTCCGGTGGGCCCAGCTGAGGTGACCGTGTTTCCTCTCCTCTAGCTACGGGGACCAGGTCCAGCACTTCAAGGTGCTGCGTGAGGCCTCGGGGAAGTACTACCTGTGGGAGGAGAAGTTCAACTCCCTCAACGAGCTGGTGGACTTCTACCGCACCACCACCATCGCCAAGAAGCGGCAGATCTTCCTGTGCGACGAGGCGCCCCTGCTCAAGGTAGGGGGCTGGGGGCAGAGGCCCGCGGGCCGGAGGCAGCCTCTCCGCCGGGCAGGGCCAGCGGACGTGGGCTGGCCTCCCTTCCTTCCCTGGCAGGCCCACATCACAGGAGGAGGGGCCCAGGCCAGGCTCTCGAGTTCTATTAGTGTGGGTGCCGCCAGGTGAAAAGGGAAGGAGGAGGCTGAAGGCAACCCAGGTGTGCCTGTGCTGAGCTCCAGAGCCACGCACAGCACCCAGCAGGTGCTCCAGCAGTGTCTGTCAAATGAGTGAAAGAATCGGCCCGGGCCGGGCCTTCTGAGTGCCGCCGAGCCAGGCTCCATGTGCTGAGCGCCAGCACCCCCACTGTACAAAGGGAACCCTAAGGATCAGGGAGTGAGGTGACTCACTTGAGGCCACCTGCCAGGTGGCCCTGTCTGGTCTCTGCTGGCCTTGGGTGGGGTATGGGGTGGGATGAGCATTCCTGGGTAAGGTTGGCCAGGCAGAGGGTATGAGGGAGGGTCTGTGTCCACCCTGGTCCTCACAATAACAGCAATTTGCCAGTCAGCCCTTTCATCAAGGGGCCTCGAGCACCAGCTCTCACTCTCATTAGAGTGACGATACCCATCAATGGGGTTATTAAAACAGCCCCAATGTGTTGTTTTCCTTGGGAGAGGGCTATTGGCAAGGCCTGGGGCTATAGGTCAGGACCCTAGGATAGCCCAGATGAACTTGGACTCTGCAGGGGACACAGGGAGCATGGGCATGCTCAAGACCCGGGAAGGGGCTGAGAAACTGTCCTGTCCTGTCCTGTGCCTAGGTCCCTGTTGCCTTGTTATTCGTGGCCTTAGAAGCTGTGAGCCCTAGCTGGGCCCAATGTTCCCTCTGCCCAACAGGATGAGGCTTTGGGGTCTGACACTTCAGCAGAGTCAAGCAGTGCTTCCAGACACCCCGCCTAGTACCCACCCTGTCCAGCCAGGAGGCTGAGACTTCAGACTGACTTGTGGGCAGAGGTCTGCTGTCAGCTCTGAAGGACACTTCTCCCCAGCTAGCTGGGCCTTGGGCTCCCAGACTTCATCCCTCCCCCTTGCTGGCGGGTCCAATTCTGGCCTTGGATGGAGCTGGAGGTGCTGGAGCGGGCCGCGGCCTGATGGTTGCCTGTGCCCACTCCCCTGCTCTGCCCTGTGCCCCGGGGTCATCCCTCCTGTGGGGTGACTCCAGATCTGGCTCTGGCCCTGGGACCCATGCCGCCTCCTCCTTCCTGGGCAGAGAACCGCTAATTACAGCTTGCCCGCTGATCCTATCACCATCCTGGATAAGATTCCGCAGGTTCTGAGCAGAGATCCTGGTGGGGCAGGCAGGGCCAGGGTGCTGGGCATCATCGCATGGCGCCAGGCTGGCGTGCCCACAGAGAGCTCCCATCCAGCTGTCCTTCAAGGGTGGGGAAACCGAGTCCCATGAAGGTTAGGGCTTCATCCAAGGTCACCTTGGGGGCCTGGAACCCAGGCTGGGAGCACCTCCAAGCAACATTCTCTCCTCCAAGTCTGGCAAAGCAGTAAGCTCTGCTCTCGGTGGCACAACCATGTCCAGCCGATGAGGCCCCATCCTGTGGTTCCAGGGCCTGGAGCCAAAAGGTATCATGGCTGCTGCACAGTCAGGTCCCCAGAGGACCAGGGACCTAGCCCAAGCCACAGTTGAGGACCAGGCCTGAGGCCCCTGACCCACCAGCAGCCTTATGGTCCATGGCAGGGCACAGTAGCAGTGCAGCTGTGTGGCCGACAGGGGCGGGTGGGGCAGGAGGCCCGTGGTGGGGAGGCCACCCCTCTGGACTCGAGGCAAGTGTTCTGGAAGATTCCTCCCGCCCTGCAGCAAGTCACTCGTGTTGGGGAGTTCTGACCTCGGGCTCCTGAGGGGCCCCACTAACCGCCTCACCCCTTGCAGACGCCTCAGGCCTGCTTCGCCCAGGCCCAGTTTGACTTCTCCGCCCAGAACCCCACGCAGCTCAGCTTCCGCCGAGGGGCCATCATCGAGGTTCTGGAGCACCTGGACCCCCACTGGTGGCGAGGCCGGCTGTATGGACGTGTTGGCCTCTTCCCACGGAGCTATGTCCAGCCGGTGCAGCTGTGACCAGAGTGGGGTCTGGGAGAACCGAGCTGGCAGACTATCCAGCATGGCGGGTTTCCAAGACGCTGAGATTCCGAAAGAAGACGTGGATACTTCTTTCCCGGGTCCCACAGTGCTCACAGGGGCCGAGGACTGGAGCACGGCGCCCACAGCGTGGGACCTCCATTGCCTTACACTACTGGGCCAGCACCCCAGCACCCCAAGTCCACCATGGTATCCAGTGCTCACCCAGCTAAAGGAAGTCCTGGGGTCTTCTGCCGGCCTCTTCCTGTTGGCCGTCAGCGGTGAACGTCAGGGTCGGGCAGTAGGGGCCTAGCCTATTACCCTGATGGTAAGCCCTGCCTCTGGGGGGCTGGGGACTCCTAGGTTCCCCCCACTAGACACTCAAGCCAGAACTGTGGGCTTGACATGTGGCTGACCTTGGGCTGACCACCACTGGGTCTGCCTGCCGGTCCCTCAAAAGGCCCTGGAGTTGTTCTGGCCATTGGGGAGGCAGCACAGGCCAGAGGGACGGGCAGGGGTCTGCGCAGCTCTTGACCTGGCCTCACTGGGCTGAGACACTGACCTCCCTCATTACTTTGGGCTCCACCTGTGTGTCCAGCATCCTGGCACCATCACAGACACTTTGGGGAGGGCTGAAGACCCTGGACCTGAAGAAGGGGTGCACGGCAATGAAAGACAGGGAGGCAGCTGCCCCTTTCCGGGCTCTCCCACGGTGGACAGGCTCTGAGGTCAGGCCCTGAGAACCCTGTTCTGCTTTGTTCGGGCCCAGGTTCTGCCCAGCCCAGGGCCCTAGGGAGCTTGGGGGAAGTACAAGCCAGATGGGAAGTTCAGGAGGTCCAGCAGCTCTCAGAACAGGGAGGGCAGTGTAGGTGAGACCCCCACTTGAGGAAAGGCAGGGTGTCCCCGTGGGTGTGCTCCAGCAGGGAGTACTGAACAGTGCCCACCCAGAGCCGGGGCACCTTTGGGAGCAGGAAGGGTGCAGGGGGCTCAGAAATGCCAGGCTGATGCTGGCATAGGTGGTGAGCGTGAGGGGAGGAGAGAAGGCTCCTGGAGCTGGAAGCAGGTGGGAGCTGGGGGCGCCCTGGGTGGCTGCGGGCCTGAGGGCTGGTCCGAGACCCTGGGAGCCCCGTGGCCCGGACGGGTGCGCTGCCCCAGACCTTGTGTACTCAAAATAAAAGCAGTAAAGTCTGCATAAAGATGCCCATCAGAAATCAAATTTTCTTTTCAGCAGTGATAACTTTGGTATATTTTGGCTATTTTTGATATATCACATTCTTTTCCCTCATAACCCCCCAAGCTTTTAAGGACTCCTGACTGGGCCAGTCGTGGGCACGGACTCGCTGCCATGTAGCTGTGAGGGCACCCACCCCTCGCTGGGTCTGGGGAATCTTATTAGAGAGGGAAGTGGACCCCGCCTTCCTGCACGGTGGGGAGTGTCAGGCGAAGTAGGCGTAGAAGAAGATGTTGACACACATGAGGAGGATGGCGTTGAAGCAGCAGACACGCGCCCAGAACGCATGTTTCTGTGGTGTTGGGACATTACCTGGAGGGGATGAGAGAGGGGAAGGGATAGGAGGGGACCCTGGGGCGCAGTCAGCACCCACACTTCCAGCCCCTGCCTCAATGGGAGTGAGGGGAGTTGGGGGGTCACACAGTACCTGCTTTGGCTCCCAAGGGTGGGTCCTGAGCCTGGGTCCACCACGTAAGATTCTCAGTCTGCAAGGAACAGGTAGTGGTGGGTGGAGATGACAGGATGGGGGTGGCCCTGGACAGAGTCGGGGTCAGGGGTCATAAAGGAAAGATGGCAGTTGAGTTCATAAAGGGCCAGGGGCCAGGATTAGATGGGATTAGGACTCAAGCGCTAGAAAAGTCTTGAGTCAGAGAGGTCAGAACGGAACCAGAGTCAGAAACTGATGAAGGTCGGGGAGGACTCACCTGAACACTCTGGGGGGGTGGTGTCAGCAGGCTCCCCACCAGCACCACAGCCCCACTGAGCACAAAGAGGGCGATGGCGAAGTGCAGGTAGTGGAAGCTGCTGAGGATGGCAGGTCGCGTGTCCGGGTCGCCGCAGGGCGGGGTGGGGTGCAGGAACTCCAGGACCATCCTCGTGGCACCCACAGCCAGCCCCACCATCAGACCCCAGAAGGTCCCCTAGGGAGGAGGACAAGGGACAGTGGGGCAGGGCCCTCCCCAGACCCCAGGCATCAGGGGAAGGTGCCCATCACCCGAGACTGGGAGAGGCTCCCGGCCCAGCTTCTGCCCCTGCCCCTGTTACCCCGCCCACCTGCTCATTGGCTCGCTGCCAGAAGATGCCCAGGAGGAAGACGGCGGTCACTGGGGGAGCCAGGGAGCTGGTCACTGACTGCATGTAGATGAAGAGCTGCCCGCTGTTGGAGCCCTGCAGGATGGGGATCCAGGCCACACTCACGCCGATGAGCACCACGATGACCAGCCTGGACGGGCAGTGGGTGGGCTCATCGTCAGCCACCTTCACCCACCTCTCCGGTCACTGCAGGCTCTGGTCCACTGCACCGGGGACAGAGCTAGTCCTGCTGCAGTCCAAGCCCCCCACAGCTTGCAGGTGCAGCCCCTGGCTCAGTCCTGCTCTTTCTCATCCCTGGGGTCACCACTGAGCCTTGTGGTCTGTCTCTCCCTCCTGCTGCACCGGGCGGCCGGAGCCCCACCTCCATGGCTCACTGCAGCGTCTGCAGCGTCTCCTGGCACATAGTAGAGTCAACAGACATGCAGTGGGGGCACAGAGGGCCCCCTGCCCTCGCCCTCTAGCTGGACCGACCTCCTGTGGTTCCTCTGACACGTCGGCCTTCGCGGCGCTGCGACCTGCAGCCGGCACATCCCCCACCCCCCTCCCCTGGCCGCTGACCACAGCCACCACAAGACATCTTCCGTCTGAAAGTGCGAAGTCTGCAGCCGGGCAGTCTGGATTTGGGTTCGGACCTTCTACTCAGCTCTGAAGTCTGAGACCTCTGACCATCAGGATTCTCATCCCCGCCCCACCCTGCATGGATTCTTTTTTGGCTCCTACCTGTCTCCCCTCTGGGTGCAGGACCCTCCACAGCAGGGACATGCTTCACTCATGCATTCAACAAACTGCTCACTGGAAGCCCACCCGAGTGCCAGATTGTGCACTGGGAGCCCAGGTTTGATGACGAGTGGGCGCTGGGCCCTGCCCAGTACTCAGAGTCCAACAAAGAAAACAGAGGAACCTGTCACCCTACTCTCAGAGAGGGTGAAGGAATCCATGACAAGCATCAATCTAGGAGGGCTTCCAGGAGGAGGGAGCCTTCAGAGACTTGAAGACATGTCGAGTTAGAGCTGGGGTGAGGTGTTCCATCTGCTCCTCCCTTGCTGAGCACCCTCATTCGTATATCCTGGGTCAACTGAATATCCCTCCTTCCAGAGGTGGGATGGGGTAAGACCCCCCCTAGTGCCCTGACAGGCGGGCAGGGGCAACAAAGGCTGTGTGCAGCTGGGGTGAGTCCTCCTTCCTGCTGGCTTGCCTGCCTCCCTTTCTTCACTTCCAGGCCTGAGGGAGAGGGTGGAGGAAGGAGGTGCCATCTCGATTAAGGCTAATTAACCCTTAGTCTGGCAGGCGGGCGGGTACTGCCCTCTTCAAAGGCACAGGCAGGCTCCATTAACACCCATCCCACTCCACCCTCCTCACACACACTCTTGCTTCCTACACCAGACTCAGCATCTCTAAGCCTCCCCAGCCCTGCTGGAGCATGGAGTAACCCAGGGAGGGGTGTGTCGAGAAGAGTGGGCCCCCAGGACCACAGAGCCGTGGAGGGGAAGCCTGGGACCTCCTGGGTGGGGGGGAGGTCAAGGCCCAGAGCTGGGTCGTGCCAACACAGAAGTGTCCTGTGAGGCCAAGGGAGAGGCTCCTTGTTTTGGAGGAAGCTGTGAGCCCACAGATGAGCTCACGCGGGCCTGCTTTCTGGCGTGTCCCAACAGGGCCCTTCTGACAGATCCCGGCTGTTTTGCACCCCTGGGACAGCTGCCGAGAGCTCCTGGAGGGGCCCCGCCCTGAGCACAGGCGCCACGGGCTGCTGGCAGAGGGTACACTGCTGGCCAAGTTGGGCGCGGGAGAGAGGCTGGCCCTCAGCCGAGTCGTGTGGAGTGTGGCTGGGATGTGGGACAGGCCCCAGCAGGTGGCCACGTGCACACGTTCAGAGCCACCAACCTCTTGTCATTCACTGCTAGCTTCACCCCTAAAGGACTCCCAGTATTGCTGGCCCAGCACAGGGATGAGGGCCGGGCAGACGCAGCCCGTCCCCCCTGTGCGGGTGGGCACTGGGGAGGTAGGTTGGACCGATAAGGTCAACCAGTGCTGTGGGAGGAGCCTGGCAATAGTCCATGAGGGGGACTCGTTCCTTGGATGGGGCATCAGGGAGGACTGCATGAGGGAAATCCCTGGGCAGAATCTAGAAAGTGCGAAGTAAGTCATCAAGGTAATCGGGAGGGGACACGCAGAGCTGGAGGAACTGGGAGCTCAGTGGGGCCAGGGGCTGGGAGAAGGAGGCGAAGGGACAGTGGTGGCCTAGCTGACCCGTAAGTTGTCTGTGGGGCAGTTGGGACCATCAAGAAGGCTAGTGGCTCAGATTTGGGGAAGACAGAGAAGCCCTGGGATGGTAGCGGGAAGGGAGTCTCCCTGGCCGAGAGTCCCTCAAAGATGTAGCTCAGGGTAAAAGAAGCCTCCAAGGTGAGATGTTGGCCGCGAAGAGGTGGCCAGAGGGCGATGTGGGAGGTGGACTGGATAGAACATTCTGGCCTCTTCTCTGCCCTCCTTTCCGGCACCCTCCTTTCTCCAGTTGTTGAGCTCCCACGCATCCCTCCAAGCACAGGGGGACCTCACAGGCTGGCCGCGGGCTGGGGCAGCCCACCTCCCGGACCTTCGCCGGTGCCTCGCACCCACCCCCCATACCGTCCCACAAGCAGCAGCTCCCGCTCACTGGCACGGGGCCGCAGCCGCCTCCAGATGTCCATGGTGAAGAGTGTGCTGCTGCTGTTAAAGATGGAGGTCAGTGACGACATGAGCGCGGCCATCATCACTGCGATCATCAGCCCTCGCAGCCCTGCGGGTGGGACAGGGACGCTGTAAGGGCCGCCTGGCCCTGGCCCTCGCCCTGCCGGCCAGCGTCCTAGCGCCTGGGCTCTGTCAGCCGCGAGGGGTCAAGCCACCCTTCCAAGCCCTTGAGAGCAGAGCAGCGGGAGGGCCAGAGGCTGGCAGGAAAAAGACACCAGCTCTGAGGGGAAGGCCGAGGGCAAGCTGAGGGGACGGACTTTGCTGCCTGAGCCCAAGGCCAGCCGCTGGCAACAATGGTCACCACTGTAATTGCTTCTATTGTTGGTGCTATTACATACCCTCCCATTTCCCCAGAACCCAGCAGTTGACAAAGCACTTTCACACCCATGACTTCATTTGATGGAAGGATTGTTAACCCGTTTGACAGAGGAGGAAGTGGAGACTCAAGAGGGAAAGGGCTGCTGGGGACCCAGCGCAGGCCAGAGGCAGAGCCTGCAGCCAGGCGGGAGGGTGAGGAAGGCCTCCAAGGGCTTGCCCAGGGGACTCCCTTTTTCATTGGCTCTGAGGCAGAGGAGCCGGACTGGGTACCTCAGAGATGGGGGTGGGGGCAGATAGAAAAGCCCACCAGTGACAGACTGATAGTCAGGACACCGAGGAGGGGGAAGCCATGTTGTGTGAAGACTTCTGGGAGCTGCGGTTCAAGACGGGCTGAGGGTGGGATGCTCACTTCCAACTCAGAACTCCCAGCTCCAACTGCAAGCCGTTGCCCTCTGCTGCGTCCTGGCCTGAGTCTGTCTCCGAGGCTCTCAAGCTTTTTCTCAAGCTTCCTCCATCTTGCAGATGACCTGACCGTCTGTCCTGAACCCCCAACACCACCTTAGGAAAAACCTGACTCAGGTCCCTCCCTTGAATCAGACTCAGCCTTGCAGCTGCCATTTTACTGTCTGACGGGGTTGTGACCCTGGCTCTTTGTCTGACCTGCTGTGTGACTTCTGGGCATCCACGACCTTCTCTGTTTACTTGTCAGGCTGACTGGGATTGAAGCTCAAAGGAAAGTGACTGCAACATGTTTTCTCCAAAACATTTTCCTACCTTCCTTTTCTTGCTTTGGGAAGTGAATTACCTGGGGGCTCATTCCTTAAACAGGAAGCTCAAAGGGGTTTGTGGTCCAATGACAGCTGGGAGTCAGCTCCTAAAATAGAATGGGAAGGCGAGGCCCAAAGGCAGGAACCCACAATTCGGCCAAGCTTTGTGTCAGGCAGTTTTCCTACATTATTATGTTTAATCCCAGCAACAACGCTGAGGGGTGGGTAGGTATCATTAGCTCCAATTTATAAACGAGGACACTGAAGCTCCAAGTAGGGAAATGACATGTCCCAAATAGCTCAGCCAGCAAGTAGCTGGGCCAAGCTCTGACCCCAGGTCTGTCCACTCAGGTCCACGGGGCCTAGGCTCATTGGCTCTCTTGGAGGGAGGGAAGAGTAGGGTGGGGCTGTAGTTACCACAGGGGCAGCTAGAGGAAAGGAGGCAGCTAGAATCTGGAGGCAAAGCCCTTGGCTACCGAGGGCCTCGGAAAGCTGCCCACACCCCTTGCCATGCCACTTCTGCTTGATACCTCCAGGGACTGGGTGCTCACTCTGTAGCACACTACCAGGCCGGCCGCCATGAGAAACACATTCTGCCTGTGGCCTGTAGTCTCTCCCAGGGCGGTGGAGGCGGGAGGTGTGTGTTCCTAGCACCCCATCCCACAGAAGAAGCAGTGGGCTTGGGGCCGGATCTCTGGGGGTTTGTATCTCTGCCACACTATAACCTTGGACAAGCCAGGTTCCCTTCGCTATGCCTCAGTTTCCCCACCCCTAACAACAGAGCTAGCCATTTTAAATCACAGCACCAAGTGAGAAGCAGTATTAAAAGGGTGTGGCACCGGAAGTCCGGAAAGGAGAAAAGATGTTTCCGGAGGGATAGGACAGTGCAGGGTGACAGGGGAACGTGCTGGAGGCAGGTAATTGCTCCTCAGACCCAAGCCTGCAGCTCATTTGCCAGGTGACCTTGGCCAGGTCACTCACCCCTCTGGGTTCCCACGTTTAAAGTGGGGGTGATAAGAACAGTAACTAGGGTTCTTGGGAAGAGGTCACGTGGGAAGCCCCTGGAAGAATGCCTGGTACTGGTGGGCGGTGCATGAGCATTTCTATTATTATCGCATCCTCTCTTCCTCTGTGAACATCATCCCACCTGCGGTCACACACCACCACACAGGGTCCGGAGTGGCCGCCACAGCCCTCAGGGCCACTTGCTCGCCTGGCCCTGCTCCAGGTCCCACCCCTCGCCCAGTCCAGCCGGCAGCCTCACCTGTGGGCATCAGCTCCATGACCAGCTTGGGGTAGGCGATGTTGGAGCAGCCAATCTCAGCCCCGCAAGCCCGCAGGCACTCAGACGGCACCACGCAGCCCACGTCATCTGCGCGAAAGGGAAGCCCATGTCCCACGCCTGCCCCCACAGCCCTCCCGGCAGCCGAAGCACCAGGCTAAGGCCGAGAGTCTGGCTCACACTGCTCTGTCCTCACTTCAGACCTGCTGGGGCCTGGGCCTGGCCTCATGGAGGGAGGGGCTGGATGCAGAAGGTCTGGCTGACCCCTGCCTCTTTCCCTCCTGCCCCTCCTGTCCCTTCCCCCAGGCCTGGGGGCTCCCCTCCCTGTGGCCCTGCCTGTGTGAAAGTCCACAAGCTGGTAGAGCCCACCTGGGGAGCTAGTGTCCTCCGTCTCTCCTCCCATCCCCAGCCCTCTTCAAGGGAGCAGCTGAAGAAAACCTGCTGGGAACACCAGCTCCGACACTGGGTCCTGGCGCTGGCTCTCGGTGCCCCCGACTTTTGAGGGTGCCCGGCAACAAGCCTTGCAGGCAGCCTGCTGGGCCACGAGGGGCCTCCCTCTGCCCTGCAGCCCATGCGGCCTGGACAGGACCACAGCGAAGCAGAACTGCCCAGGGCCCCTCCGCCCCAGCCACAGGGTCAGAGCGTTAGACCAGGGGCTTCCCCTTTCCAGCCCCCCACCCATCACCTTCTTAAAACATAATGGGAGCTCATCAACCCCTGCCCAGAATTCTCCAGATGCTGAAACTCTTAGCCTCTCCAAGACCCTAGATTACACAGACCCCAGTTCCTCTGGGCTCATCTTCCTTGCCACCCGCCACCCCCATCCTATTCACTCCAGTCACACTTGCTCTCTGCCTGATCCCAAGAAGACCCATTTGGAAGCCACCTCCGGCACATCCTCTAAATATCACTCTCCAGTCTGTCCCCCACTCCACATCACTTTTCCTAACCCCTTTCCTCCCCTGGGGTGACTGGGGTTTGTTGTTTCTTGCCTCTTCCCCACATGTGCTGGTCCAGTAAGGACAGGTACTTAGCCCTCTCCGGCCTTCTCCCTGGAGACCAGAGCAGTGTCCACTGCTCATCTGTTGAGGTCATGGAGGAATCCATGCATGGCCAGGCCTCAGCCCATTCCCAGCCTGAACCCTAAATCTAGGCCTCCCTACTGAGCCACTGGAGCAGAGCCCTTTTTGGGGCAGGAACTTCAACACTGCCCCACGGCCGCAGTCGGGGGACCCCCTTGTGTCACACTCTGGCCCCCCTGGGGTTCTGCTCTTCCACTGCACCCAGCAGTCGGGGGCCCATCTCTGCCTGGCTCTCCAGGATGGTAGAATTGACCTGGCATCCACGTGCTCCTTCCAGGCAATACTTTCTGAGCACCTTGGGTCTCCTGCAGGTCCCGCAAACACCGGGAAAAGGAGACAGTGATTATGGGGCAAGTTTGGGAACTGAAACACAGGATGGAGGCGAACAGCTCAGCCGCAGAGGCTGCTGGGGGTGAAGTGTTGCCCGGGGGCATTTGGCCTCCATGACACAGTGCCCCCTGCGCACCTGGGTTAAGCACTGTCCGCTCTCATTGGTCCTTCTGAAAAGCCCCTCCGTGGAGGCCCAGCCCACTGGTGGGAGGTGGTTGCCACCCCTTCCTCTGCAGGAGCAGGGCTGGAGTAGCCCCTCACCCCCAGGGGCCCACATCCTGCCTCCAGTCCAGGTTCTCTCCACAGTTCCGGGCTCTGGGGCCCGTCCCCTCCTCATCACCTCCGGGAAACTCCACTCACTGTGTCTAATCACACTGGTCTCTTCTCCCTCTTCATCTCACTTATCCCCCCACCCTCCCCTCAGCACCCCTCACTTGGCTCCCCTTTCCAGCTCCTTCTCCTCTCTTGACAGCCCTGGGCCCAGTTCCTCACAGCTCCTCTCCGTCCTTTCAGATCACAGTGTTTTGTTCACACCGCTTACTTCTCAGGAACCCCTGCCCACACCGCATTCCTAGAGCCCATAGCTTCCTGGGTGGGGGGACCTGTGGCATTTGGGGGCTCTCAGCCACTGGCCCTGGACCCTCCCACCCAGCAGCCATGCGCCACCACCTGACCTGCTGTGCTTTCTCATACACACCCAACACTCCAACGCCTTCAGGCTTTTGTGGAAGGTCCCCTCCTCCTGGTGTTCTTTCCCTACCCTTGTTTACCTCCTGCTTCATGGCCCATTGCAAAGGGCTTGTCTTCTGAGGCCTTCCCTGACTCCACCCCATACACACACACACACACACACACACACACACACACAAAGCAGTGGTTGAATCACAATGGTTTGTTTGCATATTTCACTTCCCCCCAGACTGGGAGCTCCCCATGGGCAGACACAGGGTTTGAATCACCTCTGAGTTCCAGGTATCAACCAGTTCAGGGCTCTGTGAACATTTGTGAGGGAATGAGTGAGAAAGGGAGTGAATGGCTGAAAGGAAGAAAGGGGCAGGGAGAGGCAAAGAGGGAGAAAGGACCCCAGAAATACCACAAAGGAGTCAGACACTATTTGATCCACCTGCCCTACCCTACCACCGCCACCAGGAGTGTAGATGAAAGAACACGGGATCATAAAGAGCATAATTTGCCTAGGGTAGAGTCGGGACCTCAGTGCAGGACTCTGGGGCCTCTGGGACCCGGCGTTCCGAGGACAGGTTGTGGGCCTGGACAGGCTGGCGCTGGTGCCTGGAGGACCCAGCCCTCCTGGGAAGGACAGGTGAAGAGTCACAGCCACATAATGGCTCAGAAAGCTCAAGTCAGGAGATTCTGACCAGGTTTATTTAGCCCACACCAGCCCATTCCAGGCTCTGGCGTGGGCACCGCCTCCAGGCACTCTGGTTGGCTTGCCTGCCCGAGAGTTTGTGCTGAGCAGCAAGAAAGAACAACCTCTCCTTTATGACAGCAGCAGAGGTGTTACCACTTCAACAAAGTTCCCTAAATGTGCCAACTCAGGAATAAGGACCCAGGGTCAGTGAGGGCCGTGAACTGGAGAGGGGGTGTCCAAGTTTGCTGGAGCACCAGCTTCTGTGAGCCCAGGAGCTCCCCGGCTGCATCCCACTTTGCAGCAGTACCCTCACCGAGCCAGGGCCCACACCCGAAGACTGGGAGCTGCCACTCTGTTGCCCTTCCCCCCACATCTTTCCTCCCTGCAGCCAACGCCAAGCCCACTATTCAGTTTCACGACTGGCAAAGCCGCATCACCTCCTGCTGTCTGGCCCCCCTCTAACCCATGCTCCCCGCAAAGTAGCAGAGCCCTCAAACCACCCATCTGCCCACACTCCTCCTGGCTCACATCATCTGTGGTCTCTATTCCCTGCAGGAGGGAGCAGAGGTTCTAGCTGAACAGTCCACAGTCTCCACCCACTTAGCAAGCCTCACCCCTATCGATATCAACCACATCTCTAAGCCTCTGTGTTTGCTGTCCTTACTCCTTGGAACACTGCTGTATGCTTCACGAACCCAGGGCACTTACATTCATTCCTCTCAACTCGCTGGGGGTGCCTGGGTTCCCCCGTCTTCAGGGGAACCTCTTCCACACTCTGAAAACTCCATGAGGAGGGAGTTGCAGCCCTGCAGGCTCCAGAAAATGCCTGGGCCCCAGCAGTACCCACAAACCAACATGTGGCAGCCTCTGCCAATGTTTGTTGACTCTTCAGTGACTCTTCCCAAGGTGAGTGCTGGACACACCACCCTGAGGGATAATAAGGCGATCTCCACTCTGCAGCCAGGTCTGGCCCACCCCCAGGCCAAATACTGACTTACTGTTGGGAGCAGAAAAAGCATACAGACCCAGCTCTTCCAGTCCCTTACTGTGTGGTCTAAGGTGATCCTTTAAGGTTTCTGATCTAAAATTTGCACAGTACACAAAAAATGAACTCAAAGTCAACCTCAGATTTGCATGTAAATATGAAACTACCAACCTTATATGAAAAAAACCCTCATGAGCTAAGGCTAGGCAAAAAGTTCTTAGTCTCAACATCGATGCATAATCAAAAGGAAAAACTGATAAATTCAACCTCATCGAAACCAAAAGTCTGTGCTCATTTTGCTCTATGTAAGATGCCCTTGAAGGGCCCCACTGCTGGCGCAAGGGGTTAAGTCTCAGCACTATGAAGCAATTTGCAGACACTGTGGCATCAGTTCCATCCCTGGCCAAGGAGCTGACCCAGATGGTGCAGCAGACCTCTCCTGTCTCTCCCACTGCTCCCCTCAGCAGTGTGTTTCTGTTAATCTGCCTGTTTTGCTCCCTACTCTCTGGTCATACTCCCCCACACACACCTCTGGCCTATTCCCCAGCTCTTGTATGCATAAATAAATAAATCTTTTTTTTAAAGATGCCTGTGAAAAGGATAAAAAGAACAAGTAAAAAAATGAATTTCAGTAAAGTTACAAGGTACAAAATCAACACATAAGTGTTCTATACACCAACAATGAACTATCAGATAGAAAAATCCCATTTACATTAACATCAAAGAGAATAAAATATCTAGTGATAATTTTAACTAAAGAGGTAAAAGATTTGAACACAGAAAACTGTTAAGACATTGATGAAAGAAATATAAAACACACATACATGGGAAGATATTCCATGCTCATAGATTGAAAAAAATTCATACCTTTAAAATGTCCATACTGCTTGAGGCAATCTGTATATCCAATGCTATTCTTATGACAACTTCAATGACACTTTTCTCAAAAATAGAAAAAAATTTTCTAAAATTCGTATGGAAACACAGAAGACCTTGATGACCAAAGCAATTCTAAGAAGGAAGAACAAAGCTGGAAGCATCACACTTTGATTTCAAGCTACATTATAAAGCTATAGTTATCAAAACAGTATGATACTGGCATAGAAATAAGACACATAGATCAATGGAACAGGATAGAGAGCCCAGAAATAAGCTCACTTGTGTATGGTTAATTTACAACAAAGGGCAGTCTTTCAATAAATGGTGTTGGGAAGACTGGATGGACATATGCACAAAAATTAACTGGACCCTTATCTTACACCATATAAAAAATCAATTCAAAATTAATTAAAGAGCTGAAAGATATCAAAACAGAAATCCCTGAAAGAAAACATGGGAAAGAAAACATGACATCTGTCTTATGATAATATTCTTTGGATTTGACACCAAAATCAAATACAAAAATCAAAAATAAAGTAAAATAAAATCAGTGGAACTACATAAAATTAAAAAGCTTCTGCATGGCAAAGGGAACCATCAACAAAATGAAAAGGCAACCTACCAACTGAGAGACAATATTTGAAAATCATGTATCTGACAAGGGGTTAATATCCAAATTATAAAAATAAGTTATATGGCTCAAGAACAAAGTTGGGAGGGGGGTGGAGGTGGGCAGAGGAACCAAATAGATAATTTCCCAAAGGAGAAATACAGAGGGCTGACAGGTATATGAAAAAGGCCTCAGCATTACTAGTCATCAGGGAAATGGAAATCAAAACTACAAGATAATCACCTCATCCCTGTTTGAATGACTATTATCAAGTAGACAAGAAACAACAAGTGTTGGTGAGGCTGTGGAGAAAAGGGTACTTGGTGCCTTGTTGGTGGAAATGTAACTTGGTATCACCACTCTGGAAAACAGTATGGAAGTCCCTCAAACAATTAAAAATAGGACTACCACTATTCCACTTCTAAATTTACATCCTAAGGAAATAAATCACTAACTAACTGAGAAACCTGCACTCCTATATAGACTACATCATTGTTCACAATAGCCAAGGTAGAGAAATAACCTAAGTGTCCCATCAATGCATGAGCAGATAAAGATGTGGTATATAAATATACAATAGAACATTATTCAGCCTTGAGAAAGAAGAAAATTCCGCCAGATACAACAATATGGATGGACCTTGAGGGTATTATGTTAAATGAAAGAAGTCACAGAGAGAAAGACAAATTCAGTATGTTCTCACTTCTATATGAAGTTTTTAAAAATTCATAGGAATGATAGAATACTGGCTACTAGGCCCTGAGGAAAAGAGGAGCTATTTCAAAGGATGCAAACTTGTAGTTATAAGATGAGTAAGTGCTAGAGATCAAATGTACAGCATGGTGACGATAGCTAATATTATACGCTTGAAAAAGAGATACAGACCAGCAGAAAGCATACTAAACAATCCAACTAGAAAAAGGGGCAAAAGACACAGGCGGGCATTTCACCTTAAGAGGACAAATGGTGGTAAATAAGCACATAAAAATATGTTCAGTGTCATTAGTCATCAGGAAAAAGATTAACACCACAATAAGAGTCTCTTTCACACCTATCAGCCTGGCTAAAATAAAACAATAGTGACAACAAAGTCTTAGTAAAGATGTAGAGAAACTGGATCACTCACACATTGATAGGAATGTAAACATACTAATATAACATGTACATGTATATGAATGAATATTGCATATATACATATATATATAATACATATATATGAATGTCTTAGTAATTTTATTTGAAAGAAATAGCCCCAAACTGGAAACAATCCAAATGTCCTTCAAAAATAGTGGGGGTCAATCCCCAAAGATTACATACTGCACATTTTATTTAAGTAGCAGTCTTGAAATAAAGTTATAGAGCTGGAGAGGAGTTGGAGATTGCAAGGTTAGAGTTGGGGTGTGGGTATGGCTCTAAGGAGGGAGAGCGCTTCATGGTGGCAGAACAGTGATCTGATTGTCATGGTAGTCACACCAATCTACACACAGGGTGAAGTTGTGTGTATTCACACAGAAACACACATAAATGAATGCACAGAAAGTGGTAAGATCCCAAAAAGTTCTATCGTGCCCACTGCCACATATCTGGCTGTGATATTGTTGCACTGTAGTTATGCAGATGAATGTGTTGGGGGAAACTACGTGAAGGTCGCAGGTAACCTCTGTTCTATCTTTCTACAACTTCTTGGGACTCAGTAATGATGGGCAGCTAACTGAAGAGATTAAGAGCCATCAAGAGTCCCAGGAGTCTGGTGGTGCAAGGGGTTAAGTCTCAGCACTGTGAAGCTAATCCCAGCCACTGCAGCACTTCCATCCCGGCCAGGGAGCTGACCCCCATGGCGCAGCAGACCTCTCCTGACTCTCCCTCAGTATTTCAGTCAATTTGCCTGTTCTGCTCTCCACTCTGTCTCTGGTGTATCCTCTCGCCCCTCCACCTCTGACCTACACCTCAGTTTTTATATGCAGAAATAAATAAATCTTTAAAAAAAAAAAAAAAAGAGCCCCAGGAATTCTGGGCAGCGTTAAGGACAGCAGGAAAGGCCAGAGACAGTCTTGTTCTGGGTCCCTGCTGGGGGAGGCTGTAAATCAGGTTTCAGGCCTCCTAGGGCAGTGCCCACTCACTGGGACACTGTCTCCTCTGTCTCATTGGGTGGGATAGAGAAGGTGCTGGGAGGAGCTGGGGCAGCTGCACTCAGAGAGGGGTGGGGCTGCCTTCTGCACACACACACACACACACACACACAGCATGAAGCCCCCAGGCTGGGGTGGAGTGTAGGACTTAAGATTTGAGGTGTCAGTGATGGGGATCTCAGGGTTGCCAGGGCTGTGGACCTAGGTGAGGCCTGACAGGTGGATGGACCGTGTTGAGGGTCCTGGGGAAGTGAGTTCACAGGCCTAGAGATGTCATCAGCTCATTCTCAGCAACACAGTGGGGGTCCTGAGGTGCCAATCCCAACCCAAGCACAGAGCAGCCCCCACTAAACCCAGGTTGAGTGGTGGGGGACAGACAGGAAGGACTGGGCCAGGTGCCTGGCTAACTGTGGCACGCGACAGGGTGGGGGCTGTTTGCTGGGCCAAGTTTAATGGGCTTTACTCTCCCCGCCCTGGCAACTTGCTTTCAGATGTGGTTCCCACACCCCCCATAACCAGGGTCCCAAGCCCCAGGGACGCAGAGCTGAGAGCAGGGCCTTGCCCCAGCCCACAACAGCCCCAGGGTTCATGTGGGGCACTGCTCATCATGTATGGCCAGCTGGGGGGCCCCTCCCAGCAGGAGCAGGACTCAGGAGTAAGAACTGTTCTGGTCACGTCCAGCTCTATAAAGAATCCTAAGACTGGTTCAGCGCCCACCCCCTGCCTTGGGGGCTCCAAGCCCAGTACCCCAACTCTACTTCCACAACTGGACAGCCTGGCATCTGCAAGAACTTACCCTGCCACCTGGGAAACTGGGCACAGATAGGACTGGCCCAGGGTTACCTAAAGTCCCCTCCCTGGGATGAGAAGGGGTGTCCAGGCTGTGGACTTGCTGTGTGTCCCTAGTAAGAACACTGTCCCTCTCTGGGCTGCAATATTCCAGGAGCTCTTGGACAATGGTCCCTGAGCTTTTTCAGAACCCATTCACCAGGGGCTAGGGAGCCAACGTGGGGCCAGGGGCAAAGTCACACGAAGTCTGTCATCGTCCGGGGCTGGGGGTGGTGGTGAATCAGCTTCCGGCCCCGCCCCCGGGCGGCACGTGATCACAGGTGGCGGCGGCGGGGTGGGCAGGGCAGCACTTAGTC